GAAAGCACTGCAAAAAAAGGAAAACGAGCATAAAAAGCCTGAGACAAGATGAGCAAGACATACCTATTTCCAATTTTCTTGCCGCATTTCGAGCATTCGCTCGAGTTTCCAATTACAATTCGTTGCTTCAAGACTTGTCGCAATCGTTCTTCATGAGATTCGACACCACATAGGCAGACAGACCGGCGCAGAGCCAGCTAAAAACGGGTAATACTCTAGTTTCTCTACAAAAAAAGAGATTGTTAACAAGACTCACAGCACATGCGTCATCATGAGTAGCCTGCAGGACAGCATGGAGCGCTTTAGACAAAGTGCATAATGGCGTGTCGTTGGGGATTATAGATAGAGCGGCGACTGAAAAGAAGATGTTGCAATTTCTACAGAGCTAATGTCTCACCAATATCATTTTGGTCATCAAAGACTGATAAACGAATAATGTGGGGTCGCAGAGGTCGAGAAAAACAGAAAAAATTTTAGAAAAATGAAAATTGAATTGTTCCACGATTTTTTTACAACCACAGATTCTTCCCAAAAACTCTCTGTAATAAGTGACAGCCGAAATAAAAGTGAAAAAAAATTAAAACGTAATCTCAGATTTTTTGAAGCTAAGAAACGAGCATTCTATAGAAAAAGAAAATTCATAACCATCCTATTGCAAAATCTTACCTGTATCAATCTTATCAGCGTGTCTGCTCAGGACCTTAACAGCACTATGCACATCGGGTTCTGGAGTCGGAAGATCTTTTTCCGATAGGCCAGCAATCATAGGATCCAATGGACAAACATAAGCACGGAAAAGAAGCAGATAAACCTAAAAAGAACCACGTGAAGTGATAGAAATAAGCGTTTGCCTGCAGAGATCAGCACCTGTGAGTTGGTCTCATCGCTACGGTCATAGTATATTTGGCAATACTCCTCAGCGGCATCAAAGTCATTCAAAATAGATGTATAGATTGCCAAAGCCTAAAAGATGATAACAAAAAATAACAGCTCAAAGATGAGTGCAAAACTCCTAATACCTGTTCATGGTGCTTCAAACGTCCGAGAACCAAAGCTCGTTCTTCGTAAAAAGCTGAAAATTATCCATAAGCTTACATGAGTGTGCAAACCCTAAATCCCAAGACACAACAATAATCCGAACAAAAAAATGAGGAAAAAACAAGATTGGACTCACAGTAGTTTGACAAAAATTTAAAAAGCCTACCACAATTACTAAGCTGCAAGATCACAGCTTGTGGGCTATAGTACAACGAGAATCGCAAAAACTTCAGTAATCGCCGTCGCATCTCACCCAGCTCTCCATCTTCATCCCCTGCTCTGATTATATTTTCATCTGCAACACTGAACTTGAGATCCAAAATGCAAATCAATTACACATACCGTCAGGGTACGCCTGCACATAATCCTTGAATAAAAGCTTTACTCGAACAATGTAATGTTCAACCAAAGCTTCATGAAATTGTGGTCGGGTCTCGTCCCATTTGTAGATTATATGCTCCTGAAACAGCCTAATCAGAAAAGCCAAAGTACTGAAAAATTAAGCAGGTTAAGAAAACCATTATCGAAGCTCACCCTTCCATGTAACCGAGAAAAATAACATAATCGAAATTTGAAAACTGTACAAAGAACAAAAAATAAGATCAAAAAACATAAATTACCAGATATGGAATGACAGCTGCAACACAATGCGTGCGTAAGAATACCAGCACAGCCTGTCGATCAAGATTTCTAGCCAAGTCAGACTCCTCTCCAGTGAAAACCTACAAAATATAAAATGATTAAATTTCACAAATTAGAGATTTATTGGAGAAAGCTAACCTCTAACCCGGCCGTAACGTCCTTATCCAGAATCCATCTTGTGTATTTGAATATCAGTTCTAGGTGAGTGTTCCCCAAGGTTTGTAGGTAAGCGACCATCTGATCGAGTCCATGGAAGAATGGATCAGATTCAGGGTCTTGAAACTGAGTGCGGAGTAGCTCAAGTGCTTAAAGAAACCGTAAAATTCTGGGCATCCAACGAAAAGTACGACCTTACCCATTTCATGCTTTTTCCTCGATTCATACAATATAAAAAGAGATGGGAGACGATTTTCAGTTTTTAGTATGGACTCAGCGTCTTCGAAAAAGCAAGAGTTGTTGTGTAACCGAAGCAAAGAGTCCACGAGTGATGGCCTGGTCTGGATAGGAAGTATCAGAATTAACGTAGAACTTTACAACATAAAAAGATACATACTTGCAGGTAACACTTCAACAATGCTGTGTCTATCACTTGCAAGGAGATGTGCAGACTTTTCACATGCTCTGGACTTATGTTAGCTTGGCTATGATGCCTCTCGCGATTGTATTGGTCCAATTGCTTTGACAGATCTGCTCGTACCTAAAGTTAAAAATACTTCTAATTTGTCTCTAGTTTTGCACTCTTACCGCTGAAAGATAGTTGCCCAACGCCAACAACGCGCGTTTCTTGTCATTTGCCGGGAGATCAAATGCCGCCGCATCCTTCTGCAGCTTTTCTGGCAGAAATTCGGGAAACATTTGGATGATAGTGATGACATCTGAATAAACAGAAATATGGATAGAGCACATCGACTTACAAGGACACAAATGTGAAGCCGCAAGTAGATAATCAATCATAGCTAGCAGATTAACAAAATAGATACCTGTCTTGATATCAGCGTATAGTTGGAACGACTCCTCAAACTTCCTTCTATGGAAAAGGTTTAACGCTGCTTGTCGCTTGATTTCGACCTTGTTTTCTTCTGTGAAAATGTTTGACATTTCCTGAAACAGCATGCACA